TTCTATTATCAATTCAAATCAACAAATTATATTTAAGATAAATATATATGGAATAATTTTCTTTCAAATCAAAAAACTATATTTATAAATATATTAATAGTAAATTATCAATAGTATCAAGTATGTATTAACAATAAAATTTAAAAATTTTTGTAAATATTTTTCAAATTAAAGCTAATTATTCACACATAAATTAATACAAAAAATATACATAAAATTAATTTATCTTTGTAAACAAAATAATCTGTAATGTAATCAATAATTTAGAAGATTTTGAAAAAATTCTATTTTAATTTTGCTGAAATCAAATATAGATATACATTGCTTATTAATTTACATATTTATTTATTTTTATTTATACTTTTTTATATTTCAATAAAAATATATTAAATGTACATGAAAAGAATGTTGAGTATTATTAATATTATTATATAAATATGCAAATTACGTACATACAAAAGAAACAAGAAATAAAGTATTATTTGGTATATATCTTGTTTACAAAAAAAAAACTTAAAGAAATTTTGAATATGGCAGTTAATCCAATGCAATATAAATATAATTTTCTGGAATGTCATACACAAAAAGTATGAATATTCATGATTTAATGTAATAGACACATTAAAATGAAATATATTACTGCTGACAATAAAAAATAATCTGATAACAATAAAAAGATGATATTATTCACAATCTAAAATGTTAAATATCAATTATTTATATTAAGTTTTAAATAAATGTAAATTTCTTATATAAGAACAATCATAATATAAATATATACAAATATATGGATACTTTTAAGTTCATAAGTTTACAAATAATATAATGTGTGTCAAAGTAATTTTTGTGAAAATAATTATTGATGATAAGTAAAGTACATAAAAATGATTCAAAACAAAATAAGAATATTAAATTTCTATTCATTTATAAAATTAGATGTTTTGATATATAAATTAATTATAATTTTTACATTATATTTTTTGTACATACAACTTATGATGTTCCAAATTCAATGTATATCTATATAAATCGCCAATTACATGCACAAGTTAAATATTCTAATTTAATTATTCATTATATTGAAAAGAAATTACAGAAATATTAAAAAACTTTTCATGTTCCTTTATGTTGCAGTGTCACCTTCCTCTTGTTCAAGTCTAGATGATCCACATACACGACATTTACAACATACAATACATGGTGCGGCCAATAAAAGTAATGGCGATGCAACGAGTAAGAGTAATCCAAATCCAGCAAAAATTCCAATAACCTGTGTTCTGTGCCAAATAACCGATGCGCGTGAGTGACCCAATTTATTTTTACAAGGTCCTTTATCGTAATGTCGCAATAAAAAGTCATCCTATATTGTTTAATGCATTATTTTTTAAAAGAAAATACTATTATTACTATAACATTACTATAACTTACTTATTATCACTATAAATGAATGTAGTAATTACTTACATCTAAAGAAGCTAAACAATACCAACAAAAAACATGTTTACATCTTTTACACATCATTTGAGCACATCCTTCATCTTTTTCAATAGGTACAGAACACATAGGACAACATTTGATATGATCACCATCAAATGGTATACCTAAAGAAATGTCTGAACAAGGACCAGTATGCCAAGATTCTCGACATATAGAACAAAAATCTGTAGAGCAATTAGGACAATGAACTGGTCCAATAGGAGTTCCATTTGATCCAGTAGAATTTATGGAACATATTGTTTCACAACCTGCACGTGGACACCAAGCACGTGCTTTATCCATAGATACATCTATATCACATAAAAAATTATATTAAATTATTAACATTTGCAAAAAATTAATTTTATATACCTCTATTTAATCTGAATTTATAATGTTTTTCCACAAGTTCAGAACTAACAAGACTTGATATTTCCTTCATGGAAAGTATTGCTCCATGTTCACATTGTGCATCAGGACAACTAATTTCATATGCACCTTCTTCAATTTCAAATTCAATATATGCTTTCATACACTAAAATATACAAAATATATATTTATATATATATTTATTAATATATATATTAATAACTTTTCATATAATGATATAAAAGAAACATACATCTTTACAATAAGAACAACCACAGCCTTCTATCTTAAATGTTTTAGAAAGAGAAGTATCAACAAGACATAATTTACAAAAAATACGTCCAAGCGCTTGTTGAGAACTTGCAGGAACAAAATTGCCTGCAGCTAAACTATAGCGTGAACTAGATGCCAATGATAATAAACTGGAACATCGAGAACAAACTCGACTGCGATTGATGGGTCTTCCTTCTAAAGCGGAAGTGCTTAAACCCACAGCAGTTTCACATTTTCGTAATACTCCAGGACCTAGACTCAACCAGCTATTACCACGAGCTTCTAAACTTGCACTACTTTCAGGTCTAAGTAAAGGAGCATCTACTCCTTTTCCTACTGCAGTCCTCTCTGTCAAAGAAAGATTTACAACACTGGCTTCTTTACGCAATAAAGGTAATCTGACTCCAGTAAGTTTATTAGACTTATCAACTTTTTTCTGGTTTGTAGCAACTTTATTAGAAGGATTAACAGATGTCACAGAACTAGTAGCAGTACCCATATCCATTAGTGGAGCTCGTCGTATGACGAGCGAATGTAGGCTGGGCATCCCCTAATTATCAATGTAGATTTCACTACCAGTTACAGACAAGAGCTGTGCTTACTGACTTCTTTTAGACAGTTTGCAACAGCACTTGCCATGTAATGGAAGATGTATATAAGTCATGAAACTTAAAAATGTCACACCCATGAAACAAATTGACACTGCATATTTCATTCCATTCAATCCAATATAATTTCACAACATTTCATATTTTTCATATTTCATTTCCTTACTTGGCACTTTCGAATTTTGTTTTGCATAAGCTGAATATGATTGAATATTGATTTCCATTAGAAAGTTGCAAAATTAAATTTTTACAATATATTTGTATTTTAATATAAATTTGCTGACATGTTTTTGACTTAATTTCAAGAAAACTCAAGATTCAAAATAGTTAATTAAAAAAATAAATTGATAATCAAATAACAATATAGAAATAAATTTTTCGAAATAGTTATACGTTATTAACAAAAAGAAAAAATTTTATTGTCTTCAAACATTATTTATGTTGTGTTTGTCAATTCAAGACATATCGCGAAAGTAAGAAAATTGCTACGTAATATTTTACAACATGTTCAATATTCGAAGAAATACACATCTATTGATATTTTGAATGTTAATCTTTATAAATATATGTTTATTCCATTAAAATATTATTCAATTTTATAATTTATTTTTTTTAATAGTTTTATTACGGATTTTTTATATACTGTATCACAAAGTACATCAAACAGTATACACAAATTACCGACTAACTACTTCCGCCCCCACTTATATTTTTTTCTTACAATCTCGGAAAAAATTATCACTACATTCATATTATATATAACATATATATAAAAATTATAATTATTTTTGATTTGACATATTTTTTGTTATATTTTCGTTACTCACATAACTCAAGGAAGCAATATTATAAAAAAGAAAATTAAATATTTTAGCAAAACATAATTTCAAATACTAGTAAATTTTTATTACGGAGTTGTGATATGTTGTATTTCAAGATTTTATTAATAATAATAGTAAATAATAAATTGTTAAAACATTCATTGTTTTTTTATATTATTATAATTTATTATAATTTATAGCTTTATTATATATATAATAGTAATAAAATTTATAGAAACATAATATATTCCTATATATTTTATAGATTTTATTTTTTTTTGTAATTTAGATTATTGAAATTAAGATTTCATCTATAAATCATTTCATCATTTATTGATATGAAGGAAACTATAACTAGTAATATTTTGATAAATATTTGAAAATAGAGTTTTTAATCATTTCATATAGTTATTTCTTTTACATATTATAATTAAATAATTAAATAATTATAATGCTATTAATAAAAAATAAATTTAAAATCTCCTAAGACTGAATTTAAAACTAAATTCAGTCATTATGCAATTTAATAAATCTGTTATATTTAATAAAATATTTATAAAAATGCGGGAAATTTAATTTAATTTAAAATTTAATTAAATTTAAAATTTCATTAAGTGAAATAATAATAATACATTTTTATCTTTTTTTTATATCAATTAAAAAATTTGTTAAACTGTAATAAGAAAATAATAAATAAAAGTGAAAAAATTATATTATTCATATCTATACAAATAATAAAATTTTCACATATATCATAACTAATAATTAAATCGATAGTACACTATTATACTATTATATATTAAAATGTATTTCACTTGAAAAAATACAAATTATACTATATTTAAATAAAATTTTATTAAACTAAGAATTATTTGTTTATATAAATTCGTATGAAAAATGAGCACTTAGTTTGTATATTTTTGTAACACAAAAATAAGTAAAACTTAATAATATAAGAGATATTAGATTATATTATATAGATTATTATATTTTCAATACAAATATTAAAAATCAGAACATATAAACATTAATATTTACATACTAATATAAAATGAATTGTCATTCATTCTATACCGCAAAATCTATGAAGTATTTTATCATTTAAAATTTATTACAATTGTATAAAAATTGAGCAAATCATATATTAGTAATATAGGTTCAATTACAATAAGTAACAATGAAAATAAAGAAAATTTAACGAAAAATGAAAGTAGATAGTATTTTATGTATAACATATAAATAGGGAAGCAATATTTGTGAACACTTTGAATGAATAATAATATCAATACCAAACTTATACAACAAATGTACAGTCTTGAACTGTAACAGTCTTTATGGAAGTATGAATAATGAAGTATTTGTTACAAAAATTCTTTTTGACTAGAATAATTGTTTTTCTCTAGACATTCTATTACAAATCATTTAAAATAGAATTAAAATAACTTCAAATGTTTGATAAATAATTATTATATACTTTCAAATGATAATACTTTATGAAACATGGCACGAAATAGCATGGAATTTTTACATTGCAATTTTGTGTGTAATGATATAAACGATATGAATATAAAATGTAAACTATATGTATATTGTCAAAATTAAGATTTGTATTTTTTGATTTTTTAAACTAAAAGAGTATAAAAAAGAAAGGAAAATATATTAGCTACAATTATATCATAGTTATTAAGAAATATATGAATTACTTACAATTAAATGGATATTTACTACTATATAACAAATTTGCTTGTATGTGTACTTTATACATCATACTGATCATTATAAACACTTCTGTAACTTCATTAAATGTATTTTACATGTAATGAATGTGATAAATTAAACGAATATGATAATTTAAAGGACTTTGTTACGGAATTTGTTGTTATATGAGTCATGAATTGTTATAACTGTGCGTCAAAAATAACATTAATATAATAACTTAAAAATCATATATTTTATAATGAAATGTTTCCAGGTAAACTATACTGTCCTTTTCGGGAATGTGTATCAACCGCTCGAACTGCGAAATAATAATTATTGCCTTCAGAAAACTGTAAATAAAAAAAAATATATTAATATTATAATTATTTAGAATTTATTTTAATTTTCAAATAATAATTGTTCAAATTACTTGCGTAAGTGTGCATGCCATAGGCAGTGGTAAAGCTCGAACATCACCTACTTTTTTCCATAATGATGTATTGGGAGGAATGCCAGCAATTTCTTGATACGCATACAATTGGTAACTAACAATATCTGCATATTTTTCTGATAAATTCATATTCCAAGATAATACTATACCTAAACAATAACAATAACTTTTATTTTTTTTTCTATTAATGTTTTTATTATGTATAAATTTATATATTATAATATACCATGTGCAACTTTAGAAATTTTTAATGATGGAGCTGGTGGTGGAAGTTTTAAAAGAGGATTTACAGCATAATTGTGTATATCTGGTAAAGGTGCAGGATGCTGAAACAAATAATGTTAAAAAATAACTAATATATTATCAGAACAAAAGTACATTTAAAATATATACTTTATTTAACTGTACACTTGAAGTAGCTGGGGTTGTTAAAACTCGAACTGTTCCATTTGCAATAGTTGATATTCCTATAAATAATATGATTATATTATATTTATATATCATTTATATTATTAAAATTGCTTACCCGTTTTGTACGTTAAAGTTGAAAATGAAGCTCTACACGAAGTTACTGGTCGTATCTATAATAATAAATTTTTATTATAAATTATAAATTAATTATAGAATCATAAAATTTTTAACAAATCACTTTAATAAATATAATAAAAAATATTCATTCTACCGGACTGGAATTTGGAGCTATTAATAATTGTCTTGTTGGTCCTACACCACTTTGCATCACGTATGTTAATCGAGGTGCATTCATATTATTCTAAAAAAATATATATAAATGAATATAAAATATTAATGAAAAATATTTATAATATTTTATATATTTACCACTAAGGCAGTAGGTGTTGGTTGACTGGCAGGTTGTACTACTCTTATACTAGGAGGTTGACTTGTTATAGCTACATTCCCAGGAATGGTCTGAATTACCCTTTGGAAACAAGGTTGTTGCGTTTTTTGTGCTAAATTTACTTGATCAGTTATTGTAGTGGTTACAACTGATACACCAGTTGCTACAAATTATTAAAATTTATATATTTTTAATTAATATATAATAAATAAATAAATCAAAAAATTTACCTTTGCTTTTTTCTTCTTCATCTGTAAGATCAATAAGATCATTTGTATGAGATTTTACATTTGTTGTAGATCCTTGACGACTTATTTGATTTGGAAATTTTCCATTTAGAACTATAGTTTGCTGTGATTGTTGTGATTGCATTTGTTGCTATAAAAATCAATATATTTATATATAATAATATATTTATAATATAAAATATTATATTTATTATGCAATTTTTATAATAAAAATAAAAAAATTCTTATAAAATATTTACATTTGACATAATTTGTTGAACATTAGATTGATTTGGTAATGTCAAAGAATGCTGTGTATCTACAGGTTTAGCAACAACTAAAGCTGCAGGAGTGATAGTAGTCATAATATTTGGAGACTGAGTGTGATTTTGTGGTACCACAGGATTTTGTCCAATTATTGATTCAGTTCTCCTAGGAGATCTTACTTTAATTCCTTTCCTTGGACTGGCTGCATTATTTGTTTCATTAATAGTAGTATTTGGTGTATTATTACTTGAAAGATGCAAAGATTTCAAATTAGAATTCTGTTGTAATTGCCGTAAATTCTGCATGCCATGATCCTATGGAAATAAAAATAAATATTACGATAAAATAAATGTAAAATAAAATATTACAAAATTATTTAAATAAAATAGTTTATATATAATAGTATTATTATATTTAAATATATACCGTCATAAAATTAACTTGTAATCCAACAGATCTATTGATTTTAATTGGTGGAGTGGATTTGTCATTATTAGCACGTCGATCTGCAGCATTACGACTTAATACCATTTCAAAATCTTTAATTTGTTTAGCCAATTGTTGACATTTTGCACGCATTACTTCTTGATTTTTTTCTGATATACGTGCTTGTTCTCTTAATTTGCCAATTTCGTCACGCATAGTAATTGTTTCAACAATTTTTTGTATTAAAAGTTCTTCTAATTCCTTAAAAAAATTATATTATCATTAGAACATATAAAACTACTATTATCAAAACAATTAAATTAAATTTATATATTTCTACATACTTCTTGTTTTAATTTTGGCAGTTTTTCATTTAAATCTCTTTGGAAAAATTTATGAACATAATTAAGTTTTTTAATGTTTTCAGAATTATTTTCTTGTGTTTTTGATTCATCACATGCTTCAGAATTTATTTTAATTTTTTTAATATTACCATTCAGAATAGTACTATTAGTATCAGAATAAGTTCGTTTCAATGAAGGTGGTGATAAAGGGCATGCATCTTGATTCATTTTGTAATTTACAACCACAAATTTTTCTGAACCATCACTAGATTCTAGATCACTATCATAATTAAGAAATTTCTTTCTTATTATTTCTTCTGCATTCTTAGCTGTTCGTCTTTTTTGTCTTCCACTTTCTTTAACTATAAAAAGAATATTTTAATAAAAACTTGATAATTTACAGAATTAAAAGATTAAAAATTGTATGTTTTCAATATTTATTCATATACAATTATAACATATCAAATATATATAATTATATTATTAAATAATAAGAAGAATAGTAGAGAAAGCATAAAATAGTTGATTAGTTAATTTATAATATTTTTAAATAAAATTTTTTGATTTAATTTAAATAAAAATTAAAATTAATTGACATATATTTTAAATAATTTTAAGCAATAATTAATAATTCATAATTTTTTAAATTTTGTTGAAAAATTTTATATTGATTAAAAATAATTGAATATATAAAAGAATTTTTATATATATATAAAAGTTAATGATTAAAAATTATAAAAATTAATTTATTCTAGTTTTGTAAGTTTTTTTTTTCGAGTTCAATTACATAAAATTTATAAAATTTAAAAGATGTAATTCTACCTTGTTTATCTTCTTCAGAAACAGTTCCTTGTGCAATGGTAATCATTTTTTTCGTTCGCCTCTTTTTTTTCTGGGTAATTATAGGTTCAGTAGTTATTTTATCACTATCACCACTATTATCTTTTCCATCAATAACAAAATCTAAAGAATCATTTTGTAATTTTGTATTGGATAAGCTATTTTCATTCAATATCAACTTAATGTTTTCTTTTAAATTTGCTGTTATACTTGTAGAACTTATTACAGAACTTTCTTTTGATATAGATTTTATATCATTTTCATTTTCATTTTGTTTCAAAAGATCAATTTTACTTTGAGTTACTTGATCTTCAGAAGAAATAAATTCATTAATTTTAATAGAATTTGTACTATTAATATTAGTTTTTAATATTTGATTATCACATTTTTCACTGTTATTAACTGATTTTTCTGTGGTAACATTTTGTATAACTTTGATTTCATTATCATTTTCATTTGACAAATCATTTGATACAGTAATTGTTGTTTTTATGATTTCTTTATTTGATTTTATATTTTCTAAAGAAATTTCTTCTTTATTTGTAAGAATTTCATTAGTTTTATGATTTGTTATTCCTTGATTTACTATTGATTCATTCTTTATCATCTCTTTTTCATTTAAAATATCTAAATCAATTATTCTATAATTATTTTCTATGTCTTGATTAACATATGTTAATTCTTGATTTTTATTTGAATTTGGCTTTTCTAACTTATTAATTTGTTTAATTTCTTCACTTTCATTTATATTAGTTATTTTAACTATTTCTTCTTGTTTTTGATTACTTACATTATTTTCTTTAGTGTGCTCTATATTTTTATATTCATTATGTTTATAAGTTATATTAATATTTAATGATTCTATTATTTTAGAGTTATTAGAAATAGAAAAATTATTAGAATCAACATCTGCATTATTTATACTGTTTTCGTTTATTTTATCGATTAATTTTATGTTATCTGTATTATTATCATGAGAATTAATTGTAGAATTTGTAAGTTTTACAACAGAATTATCATTCGATGCATGAATTAAAATATCTTTATTTTTATCTTTACATTGTATTTTCATATTTTCTTCCAATTTATGCTTTAATTCTAATGAATTATCAACAGAATTAACGAAACTTTCCTCCTTAGAATCCTTAGTAATAATATCATCTACTTCTTTATTCAGTGATTGATTTGAATCATTCTTAGTGTTAATTGAAGATTCATTATATGTATTATCTTCATTTATTGTCTCATGATCTTGAATTTTTATAATTTTGACATCATTATCAATTTGAGTTTTTGAAAATACATTTTTATATAATGATGATTCCAAATTTTGATCAAATTTAATTGGACTATTTTGCCTTTGCATTACATTAGACTTAAAACTTTTTTTTTGTTGTCTATTACCATAAATTGATCTATTATATGAATTATATGTTCCATTGCCTCTTCCACGTTCAAAAGGAAGAAATGCATTATGAAACCTAAAATCATATGACTGAAGTCTATAACGTCCTCTAGGTCTAAATCTATTATAAGTATGACTGACACTACGAAAAGGACGACCATTAGGATTTCTAGGATATCTCCAATGTAATTCGTAATTTGGCCATAGACGAGGTGTATTAATTGTTTGATGTTTCATCAATTCATTTTCATTTTCACCTTTTTTAATAATCCTTTCATAATCAATTACTATTTTTTCATCCATGGAATCATTATCTGAACATTGTTCCTCTTGGTTTATTATTTTTGTATTTGTATCATTTTTAATATTTTTTTTCTGGAGAAATTTCCATATCTTCAGATGTTGTTTCTATAATTTAAATAAAAGAATATTGTTTAAATTTTTTTGATATATAGTATCATATTGATTGTGATATTTTAATCATATATATGTACAATGATTACCAATTTTATTAGTTTTTAATTCATTTTCTTGATTATTTAAAACAGATGTTAAAATATTTTCTGTCTCAATTTCATCATCATCAGAAAGTCTCAAACGCATACTATCATCTGAAAGAGCATCTTCTTCATCACCATCATCACCTGTACCATATAATAGCTCTTCTTCTTTTTCTTTTGATAATTCGTCAGTATGGTGTGTGTTAATACAAGGCAAAGAATGCACAGATTCAGAAGTATGTAATGTATCACTTCTTAAAGCTTCCATTTTATAAAATGTATAGCACATAAGACAATGTCATAAATTACTCATTTAATAATCTTTAACCTGTAAATGATTACTTTACCTTTAATAATTTTATTTTAAACATTTTGTTTTAACTTTATGTACACACATGCGCGCGTGCACATATACATACATACGCGCGTATATACATTTGACATACAAATGTAATAACAAAAATTTTCATACATTTGAATTTATCTTTATTTAATTTTTGTTTAATTTTTTTTAAGAAATAATAATTATATTTATTATAAATACATATTATACAATGAGTTAATATAAAATATTAAGTTAATATAAAATACAAAATTAAAAAATAAATACAAATAAAATATTATATAAATTAATATATTGATTTAATGTATGATATTATTTATTTTTATTTTTATCAAAATTTTTATTATTTTAATTTTATAAATAAATAAATAATATTAATTAAAAATACCGTAAATATTAAAAAAAATTAATAATGAAATTCAGATTTATTTATAATTTTTTTAAATTTGAATACAATTAAATATAAAATCTTTTATATTTTATAACTAAATATAAAATATTATATTTTTTGCCAAAAGATCTAATTTTAATATACATTATTAAAAATAATATTTTAAGATTATAAAAATTATTAATTTTTCAGATTAATTTTTTTTCATCTAATATTATTATATCATTATGTTCGCAATGTGTATTAAAATGATTAATATTTATGTTGGTTTGATATGAGTGTTAATGAAGAAAAAATGCAAACTTTCATAAAATTAAAATTATTAAAATGTGGGCCCTTTAATGCACGCTAACATATACCATCCCTGGCCCATAAGTACTCAATTAATAAAAATGGCGGAATGGAACTGTTTCACTAAATTCATTATTATATTTTTAATAATAGATATATCACTATAATAAATATATTACTATTTAAAAAATTTATATTATTATTATTTTAAAAATATTATAGGTTTATATTTTATACAAATAATATATTGAAAGAATGTTTAATAATGATAAGTACATGGCCATTTCGTATTTTTGTGTCTGTCACTATTTACAAAACTTTAAAATTCAATTCATGTCAAAAATATTGTTTGTTTATAAAATTAAATATAAATACACAACACGAATAATTATAACTAATTGAAATATTAGAATACATTAAATTAATTATAATTTAATCTATACAAGATTTATGTAGAAAAAGGCGGGCTTCTAAGTAAACTCCTCTATTGAACGAATACTGCCAAACATAGGCCCCGATGTGTCCTAACGAAATTCAACGATTTTACACGAAGTCGATCAATATGGCGTCATAGTTTACCATTGAGAAATTATTTCTTACAAAATAAAAATGAAATTTAATAAATTCCGTAATAAAAGTATATATTTAACAAGTAAAATTGTACTAACTTTTTTATTTTTACATTTCAAATGATTCAAAATATTTAAAAAGTTTACATTTCTAATATCCACTCTCTTTCTTTACTAATGTGCTACTTAATAATACTTAATGTTTTATGCTATTGCAAAGATTTATAAAAATTTTATCATATTTAATACATTGATATAAATTTTAAGATTTATTTATGTTCGAACATTTTTATATGCATATATTTTTCAATACAATATATTAAAAAAAAAAATTACTAATATTAAATATTTGTTTATAAAAATACTATATATAAACATTATTTTATAATATATAAATATTTTTATATTGAACATTTGAAATAATTCTACTTCTGTTTTTTTAGTTCTTATTGACAAGATCAACATGCGTCATACTGGTAATATAATATTGAATTCATTGAGTGGGAGAAATGTTATGCTTTCATAACTCATTACGAATATCGATTTTATATAGATTTCTCTATATAGATTCAACTTATATTTTCAAATTTTATAAACAATTTTAATTGTTTATAAGTTATTAAAAATGTTACAAATATATTATAAATATATTTTTTAATCAAAATTTAATTATTCATCTTATAGAATTTATAAAAAATAATATTTGTAATACAAGTAATATTACTATCTAAATGTACTATACAAATTTATAACATTCAAGTACACAATTAACATACAACGTAACAATTATATTATAAATATTTTTTAATAATATAATTATTGTTAATATTAGAAAATATAAAAATTAATAAAAAATTGTATACATAAAATTTTATTTTTATAATATCATATTTTTTGATATAAATATTTTAATTCATTTTTATAAAATACAAAATTAAAAATAACAATCTAATTTCATAACTTAAATATTATATAATTAAATATAAAAATATTAAGTTTTCATTTTGTATGACGAAACAACAAAATGGCGTACCTATGCTCTATAAAATGGCAGCTATTCATATATAGTTTGACATCTACAATAGATTCGATCTTTATGTTTGGGACTTCAGGCCCAAATTCTTCAGTAATATGAATAGTATAAAAGTATAAAATATACTTTTATTATTTAAATATTCATTAATATATAAATTAAATATAAGAAAACAACAACAGAAATCCTTAAAGTCCATAAAATTAAAATTAATAAAATAACGAAGAATTTATTTTCAAAATGTTTACTATAATGTCTTTCAAAATGTAATTTGTTGTTTTTTTAATTTTAATAAATATATATTATATATATATGTGATTCAGGTCATATAACAATTCAGATCAAAAAATCAGAATGACCCACTGCTGAATGATAACATGTAAATGTGTGTGTAAGTGAACTTACGTTATGTTATAATGCAGATAATCTTCAATTAGTGATGAACATGCTCTTTGTTTTACAAAAATACTTTATATTTATGATAAATGCCAGAAACGAAGATACACTGTGATACTCGTTCATCGAGTATCTGCAACACCGCAACCTAAACAAGCGACAGGCAATGTTGCCACTTTTATACGTAACCGCTAACATACTCAATATATTTTGATGAAATTAAGGTTTAAATTGAATACGTCAGACTTTCCAATTGTTTAAATTTGAAAGATTTATCGAATTAAAAAGTTACAAACAAATTTGTGAAAAGAAATATGTAGAACTATCGACATATACAGATAATATAGTTTGCATCTCAATTTAGTAACGCATGCGCTATAGTATAAAATACTTTCAGAACTTATATGATGTTTACTAAAGCACGTAAAATACTTCTGATTAGATACCAAAATACACTTTGTTTATAAAATTTTGTGCAGGTATGCAAAATCAATAATAATCAAGTATTCATGATATGTTTTTTCAACATTTGAAGATTTTTTTTCGAGGATTGTTTGATTACTTTAAAGAATAAATAATAACCATAGTATTTTACATTATTTTGTAAAAAATATTGTTAATAATATAAAATTTATTGATTATTACTGAAATGTGGATGAAGAAAAAATATATTTTATGTGATATTTTTTAAAAAATTGTTAATAAAACATATATTTAGTGATTAATTCAAACCAAGGTTAATTTTTTACGTTAAATTTTCATTAAAAATATCGTATTATAAAAATACGAATAAAAAATATTGCTAACCACAATATATATATATTAAAATTATTTGTATTTAGAAAAAATGTATTATTTATCATTTTTATAATTTAAATTTAAAAATTATAAGAAGACTTTATTATATATTATATAAAAAATCAAAAATAAAAAATGAACTAGAGTATTTAATATTTATAGTATATCTTATAGTAATCTTAATAATCTTAATAATAAAATCTTAAAAAATATATTATTCTTTTTATTTTATTATATTTTTAATAATATATGTATAATCTTGTATATAAATATACTATTATATATAATAAATAATATAATATATATTATATGTTCTTGAATTTTATTATGTGCAAATATAAATAATTATATATAATATATAATATTTATAAATACACATTATTAAGTAGACAAATTTATTTAATATAGAATTTATAACATAGAAATAAAATAAAAATTTTATATAAATTCTTTTATAAAATAACTTACATATTTAATCTATTACATTATTTAATAATGTAAATATATGTTATTCTTTTAATCTAATTTTAAATTTTATTAAATTAACTATATTTGTAATATAAATGTAAATATTAATAATTGAAAAATATATTTTGTAAAAATATTTGATATGTTAATAATATTTTTATATAATTAGTATTATTTTAAATTTTGATATACAAATATAATGCAAAAATAGGAAATAATATTTTTATATAAAATTTTATATTACAAAATATTAATGACTAGTATTTTAATTCTTTAATATAAAATCAAAAATACTTCTAATCTTCTGAATCAGTTTTACAGAAAAAATTAAAATATACTATATTTATATAAATATAGTATGTATAAATATTTATATAAATATACTATATTTGTCATTTTATAAAATTAAAATTCTATTATATTTTAACTATACAATAACTATATAATAAATATTCTATAAAATAAATTTTTAAAGTTTTTCACCAATGAAAATTCTAATATTATTTAAAATAAAACAATAAAATTAATTTAAAATAATATATATAATTTTATATATATTATGTACAAAAATTTAATATTCTTTTTTCTTATTTGATTATATTATGTCATAAATCAATAATTTACTTTTTACTAATTTATAAAAATACGATTAATATAGTGATCTATTCTATTTTCAATACTAGTTAATTTTTGGTTACTTAACTACTCTAGGTATTTATAATTGAAATTATGTTTTTCTATTGACAAAAAATATTATTTTTTTTCTTATTTTTCTAAAATTTTATAGATAATTTAATAAAAATCGATATTATAATTCAGTTCAGAGAATATGTTCATAAATTATATATTTAATTTATTCAAGTCAATTATATCAAACTATGTTAATTATAAATAAGAAAGTTGGTAGCAAAATACCAAATGATATTTTGTCATAGAAAGCCGGTATAAAGTTTTAATATAGTATATATAAATATATTATATGAGAATGGTGGAGGAAAGTACGATTTCGAAGATGTACGAAGAAAAGAATATTTATTTGTTATTTCGGAAAAGTTGAACTATTAGTTAAATTTTAATAAAGATAAATAAAAAATTATAAAATTTTATGTTATATATTAGCTATATTGAAATCAAATACGTTCGCATGCGTATTAATTATTTCTTTTCGCAAACTCGATCGAAATACATTATCCGACAGGAGAGCACTCTTTGGGCTCCAGAGGAAAGAAAAGTTGTTGTAATGGCTGCCGTGTCATGAAATGAAGGTACCGAGCCAGTTTTGTGGTTCCACGATGGAGGAGAACTCCAGTTCTGCATCTCAAAATCATAATGGACAATTATCTAGTGGTGCAAATGTTCCATTGACAAATAATAAACATCAAGGGAATGACAATGGTACTAATGGCGATGCTAAGAATGAAAGGCCACAATACTCTATGCCTGGTATTCTACATTTTATTCAGCATGAATGGACTCGCTTTGAACTTGAAAGATCGCAATGGGAGCTTGATAAAGCAGAATTTCAGGTACCGTCTTAATTTGTTTGAGGAAAATTCTCAGAATATCTCTTTATATTTTTCTTTAAAGTATTCTTTTCTTATTGTCATATCATCTGTCATGTGACAGAATGTGGTAAAAACATGATTTATTGAAAATATGTAAAACATTACAATATAATTTGTGTATATACTTAATTAAAAAATTAATTTAATTTAAATTAAAAAATATTTTATAAGAATATTTTTCTTATAATATTATATTTTAAACTTCAATATAGTAAATGTCACTTTGTATACATTGTGCATACTCAAAAAATTATTTCAATTTAAATTAAAAAATATATTATATAGAATATATAATTATATAAGAACATTTTTCTTTTTATAATATTATATAATATTATGTTTTAAAATTTAATATAATAAATGTTAATTTATTAATATATAGAAATTATTATATTATTTTAATGAAATAAATATTATTAGTTACTATATAAATAATATTATAATAAATAGTATTTTAATTTTATATAAATTTTTTGTTGTATTGTATTATATTATATTGTATTCTATGTATTATATTTTTGTCTTTATTATAATTACTGTGATTTTTAACGTTATAAAAAAAATGTTTCAAAAAATTTTAATGCTATAAAATTAAGATAAAAAAACAATTATAATATTTATAATATATTTTATAAAATGTATTTTACTTAATTATATTAAAAGTAATTAATTCTTTAAAAATTTAATTTAAAAATATATGATAAGTTTATTATATTTTTATAGGCTAGGATAGCTTTTTTGCAAGGGGAAAGAAAAGGTC